AAGAAGAAGAAGAGGAAGAAGAAGAAGAAGAAGAAGAAGAAGAAGAAGAAGACACATCGATCACCGGCATTATGATTTTATTCGTCTGCGCTTCCGAACTCTTACCAAGGTCCATCGTCAGAGATAAAAACGCCAACGGAAAACAAGCAACAGTTATCGGTGGAAGGGTCCAATCAAGCACCACTGACTTCAGTCCGGAGGTGACTGCACGGAAGTGGGTATGCCGACACCAGATCGATAAATCGATTGACTGAGTTCTCGTATGAGGCCAGAGCTTGAATCAATTCTCGGCCTGTCTTGCTGCCTGCGTGGGAGATTATAGTCGGGGCTGCAAAAATTAAACTCGTGGCCCGTCTCGTAGATGTAGGCAGCCTCTTTTAATAAGGCGTCAGCCCGTCTTTCAGCTAGCTTCTGTTCGTGTATGTACGAACCAAGCATGCGTCCAGTCTGTCCTGCGCAATTTCAAGGACAGTTTATGTACGGTATTCGATACACTATACCGACTGTGCACTAGGATTTAATCGGTCTTTGGTTTCCATGACTCGACTGTTACTTTCTAGTCGCAAAAATGATGAATTTTGGAATAGAATTCTAATTTGTTATAAGAAATGAATTCAATACGATAACCGTAAACGTTTAGCACAGTCGTTGGACAAGGAAAAGCTACCAGCACACAAATAAAAGCGTAATATTCAACGTGATCCATTATGATTTCATGAAACCTGACTAATGGATCACGACAGAAGTATACTGCAACCAGATGGATAAACTAATCACAAAATCTTGCAGAAAAACAACATACATTGTCCAACCGACAGACTACTATTCTATTGTACGACAAAGCTAGACCAAAAGCCGCACAACTGATGGCGGTAAAAATATAAACGTTTGAGTTGTTTTTTCCCACGGAATACAACTTCTTCCGGAATTTAGATAACGTTTTTATAGGAGAATGATTTAATTCTTACTACCAATGTAAAATAGGCCTTCCAAAATTTCATTGGCTATCAATTACGTTGCTTTAAAATCACCGGGCCAAACAAGCTACCGCTGAAATGGCGAGTGTGTTCACAAAATGGGTGCATAACCTGGTCAGGAAAAATTTTTATTGTGCTATTATTTATAAAAAAATTTAAGATGGACATTTTACTTCTTTTCTATGATTTTAATACTTCACGACTAGACATATATAGGAGTTAATAGCACAATCTCAATTTTATTCTTGTGGTAGTAACCCTAACAGCTACAATCATTCAGGCCCTGGTTCCTTAGGAGATTGGAG